CAATAAAAAAACATCAAAGAAAACAAAAGAATTAAATAGTAGTTGTGCTTTCAAGTTGAATGAAAGAAAAAATCAAATCGAATTTTGATTGTTCGTGCTCATTGTTGTGTGTAGAAAAGTTGCTGTTCAGCAGGCAGCAGAAGTAGTTGGTAGCCCCCTTAAAAAAGTGCAAAGAACTTGCGAACTTTTTGCCCTGGCCACATTTGGAGGAGAGTACGTCGTACAGCAAATTTTGAAGTGATGAGAGCAAACGAAAGAGAGAAGAGAAGACGGTGCCCAACAGCAGCAGCAGTTAAGGCAGCATAGGGACAAATTAAATACAAAATACGGTCACCCCATCAACGTGTGGACGGACAGACAGTTGTCGACGACGACACAAGTAAAGGCAAGGCACCAACCTGCACGTTGGAAACAAGCTAAACAACAACAGCTAAAGGAGACAGCAAGCAGCAACAACAACGCAGTAGTAGTTGGAGTGTGGTGGACCTAATTATAATTTTTGCATTTGGGTTGGCGTGTGGTATTTAAAAGTAAAATATTTTCAAATACAAAACCGGCAAGATTTAACTTGATTTTATTTTTGTTAATAGCCAGCCCACGGAGAGCAAAGCAACGAACGAACGTTTTGACCGACAACAACATACCCCCAGTAGCAGCAGCAACAACAAACAATAATAAACACACACACGAACGCACACATAATGTTGCAAGAAGAAAACTCAAAACAAATCATGTTTAATGACTGGGCGTCGATATGTTAATGCGACTGGGGACACCACCACCAACAACAACAAGAACACCTGCAGCAGACGGTCGACATAGAAAACTCAGTGCAGGAAGAAGAGGAGAGACAAACAGGCGACAACATCGCCGCACACAGCAATAGCACAATAATAGCATTTAGTCAAAGCGATTAGGGGCGTCTAAACTCTTCAACAAAAATAAGCACTTTGCAAACTAAATAAGAGAAGACTAAAAAGGATATAACAGCCACAACAACAACGACAGCAATTGATCTATCCATCCAACCGAACAGCCATCCATCCTTGTATGGTTCCACTTTTTTTATTCTGATTGTACAACAAAGGACGACAATCGCAGCTATTTCCTTATTACACACAAAACAAACAAAAAATAGTTGTATTATTATTGGCAATGTTTTATTGAGCTTGTTGTTGTTGTTGTTGTAAAGTAATGACAGAATTGAATACCAAACACCGTCAACAAGGAGGAGGGTGGTGGGCGTAAAAGAAACCATAATTTTTTTTGCTCGAATGAATCATCATCGAGGGATTTTGTGGCAATATTATAAGCTGTGTGTTACAACAGATAAGTCATCTTTTTTATTTCACATTGACAAGGAAGGAGAGTGATTCTTGCCCTAAGGCAATAGTGTGGCAAAATTGAAAACAAGAAGAAAAAAATAAGAAATAGAGAAGTGGAGCATCTCTAAGCAATCAAATTTTAGTGGCACAAAGGCTTAAAAAATATAAATAAAAAATTAAAAAGTGCTTTAAATAATCCACAGACAAAGTCTTGAATAAAATAAACCCAAGAAAGCAATAAAAATAAAATCTTTTCTTCACACCAAAGGCGCAGGAAGCCTTTAACGATACAACATCCTATGGATATAATACATCGATAAGATAATAACAGTGAGTATTATAATGTGAATATTATCTATAGTAGAAAGTTAATTAACCACGTTTATATTTTATTGATATTTATGTCTTCTCATAGGGTTGTTAATTTGTAACAAAGAGCTTCACTTATATTCAGATCTTAATATAAGTAATGAATGTCCTTCGTCTTCTGAAACATCGGCATAATTGGACAGTTCTCGTACACAATTTATATAGGAAAAAATCGAAGAATCATAAAAAAGATAGACCCATGGTTCCTTTTGAGAATATGCAGAGTTCCATATTGCACTTGAAGAACATTAGTTCAGATTTAGATATAGCTCCCATATATAGTTTCGCCCGATTTTATGCATATGGTGCACCAAACTCTCAATATTGTTTCGATTGAAACAAAATTTAGCACAGAGTACTTAATTAGGTCTATATTGATGTATGTCAAGTTTTGTTGAAATCGGTTCAGATTTATATATGGCTCCCATATATAGTTGCGTACGATTTTATGTAAATGGAGCACCATACTGCCAATATTGGTACGATTGAGACAACATTTTGCACAGAGTACTGATTTAGATCCATATTGATGTATGCGATGTTTTGTTGGATTTGGTTCAGATTTAGATATAGCTTCCATATATAGTTTCGTCCGATTTTATGTAAATTGAGCACCATACTGACAATATTGGTCCGATGGAGACAACATCTTGCACAGAGTACTGACTTAAGTCCAGACTGATGTATGCCAAGTTTTGTTGAAATCGGTTCCGATTCAGATATAGCTCCCATATATGCTTCGTCCGATTTTATGTAAATTGGTCCGATTGAGACAACATTTTGCACAGAGTACTGACTTATGTCCAGACTGATGTATGCCAAGTTTTGTTGGAATTGGTTGAGATGTAGATATAGCTCCCATATATAGTTTCGTCCGATTGAGACAAAATTTTGCGTACCGTATTGAAATTACTACAGGTTGACATCCGTGAAGTTTTGTTGAAATATATATATATATATATATATCGGTTCAGAGGTAGATATAGCTCCTTCATATATTATTGTCCGATTTTATGCAAATGGTGCAAATAGAGGAGCCTATGTAAATTTTTAATAAATTTTAGATTTATATGTGTATGGGTTGTTTTAATTAAGTTCAAATATCTATGTACGCAGCTAATGTCGCCCGATTTCATTTCAATGGTCCTCCAAAGATTCTATGTCTATTCTCTCTAAAGTATATTGTACATATGAACATCTCGTATGCACCCAAAGTGGTGAAGGGTATCATATAGTCGGCCCGTTCGACATTTGATCTTTCCATACTGTTTTTTTTTTTCTTGTTGAAGTCTCCAAAGTATCGTTTGGACCCTTGTATTTTAACATTGGGAATAAATTAAATTGAGGTGACCACAACCATTCTCAACTTTAAATTTCATCGACTTTCAACCGGCAAACCATATCTATAAATGCATTGGTAGATACGTGCCTCGGCCTAAAGTCGTTATATACAATAAATTTTAATTTTTTCAAGGGATTTCTGTAAGGCTTCTGTTTTACTTCGACATTACAAGTTTGAAAGATTATTATGTGGTACGAGAAAAAACCCTTTAGATAAATTTCACTTCACAATTATGGAGACATTCATACATTAATAACTTCACCTTTCTTTATGTATGTTTTTGATCGTATATTTAGTAATTTGACAAAACTAATTATTTTATGGAATAAAAAAACTATTTTTTAAATTTTTTTACTCAACCTCTTCAGGAGTATTTTATTAGAAAATCATAACGATATGAAAATAATAGTTTGTTGTTATTATTATACATTTTGATCTGAGATTAATGTTCTACTTACAATTATTTGTTTATTATATTTCCCAAAGTATTATCTTTAAAAAGTTTTTCGTTGATTCGTAGTTTTGGCGATAACAATAATTTGGACCCCATTATCCACATTTCATTTATAACTCTAAAATTAAACACTGTGTTCCGTAGATAGTTGATTCGAGAGTTATATATAGATTCATAATAAACCTAAATATTTAATTAAAAACAGTTGTTGAAAAGTTACTAATTGTTTTGTTTTTTCTTATTATTTTCAGAAAACAATAAAAAAGCAAAGGAAACTAAAATAACAACAACTAATAAGATTCCTTCCAACAACTGCAATTAAATTGATATTGGAAAAAATAGAAACATCACATCATCCTGCTGTGGCATCATTATTTCATAAAAATTGGAAAGTCATCACAACAGAAACCATTAATAATAGAAGTTGAAAACAATTTAAAGACCTTAACGTTTCCCAAAAAAAAGTAAACGCACAGGCGCAGTGTGATAAATTGCAAATTTCGTATAATTTTGCATTAACGTGTTTTTAGTATAAATTAACATAAAACAAAATATTGTATTTATAGCGATAAACAAGAAACTAAATTTAGCGCACATAGTAAGCAGTAATCTCAAATCGAAAAATTTCTTCGAATAAGAATTCAAAGAAAAGCAACAAGTTATTCTTTTTAGTAGAAGAAGAGCATTTAAAAACTCACATCTTTAGGTTATGTTTTAAAGAACAGCGACAACAACAACAAAGTTTCCTCATCAAAGAATACAATACATTTTAAATCTCAATTGAGTTGTAAATAAACCAAAACAAATTATTCAAACACTCTCATACATACACACGCACACACTCTCATAAAAAAATACACCACACCATTATCCTTAGCGTAAAAAAAGAAGAAAGCTTGCCTATTTAAAAAAAATATTTTAAGAAAATTGAAACACTTTTTGCTTCCTTATAAAGGCTTCCTTTCGAGAGAGAGACTCCCCTATTATTTTATTTTTTTAGAGATTATTGCAACAATTTAGTCAGTAACCTTAACTAGTTTCTTAAAATACAACAGTATTATAGTTCTCTGCTCTTTGCCTAACCCCCCCGAGAAAAACTAATCCTAAAACTTCCTGGAATACAAAGTTTTTAGAGAAGTAGCTACCACCTTATAACCTAAACACGCAAATCCTTTTCGAGTACAATTCACGCATATAAAGTAAACCCCCCACCATACCACTCCATATATCGCCCCCATCTACCATTTATTATTTTTAAATACTGTTCGTGACCTTATAGCTATAGCCTAAAATTGTAGACCGACCACCGCACCAACAACAATAATAACAGCCCCCGAACCCTTGCTCCCTTGTTCGTAACATATGTAGTAATCATTCACTGCCATATTTCTGCATTAAATCAAACACAAAGAAGAAGAAAAAAACGAAACGAAACAAAAAAGCAGCCCACTCAGATCTCAGACAAAGAGCGAGCGAGCCAGAAAAAAGGACTTTTTTACACGCAACAACAATGGTGGGTTCTCAGACTCAACAGTTAACCCAACAACAACAGCAGCAGCAACAGGCCACAAGTCATCAACTTCTTGCTGGCGGTGTTAACAACACTCAGTCATCATCATTGCAAAGTTTAGGACGTCTCACCACGGCGGCGTCCATGCGTAGAAATAGCCTTTTGGCGGATAACAATTTAGGCAACATCACCACCAACACTAGTAGTAGCAGCACAAATTCCTGTCCTCCGACATCAATCGCCCTCGCCGCAGCCAATAATTCCAATCAAAATAACATTGTTTTAGCCAATCTATCGCCCATCGATTATGCCACAGCTTTTAACAATAGCTCAATAAATAGCAGCAGTTCTTGCGTTGTTGCTGCCGCAGCCGCCCAGGCCGAAGAATTATTACCGCTATCGGCCAATAGTATTTATAAGGATGTATCATCTGGAACGTGTACTGCCTCCGCCGCTGGCGTAGATAATCCCCAAAATCTTTATACATCAATGCGTAGTAAAAGTTGTAGCAATAAATTAATCGGTGGAGGAGGACCAAACGGTACATCATCATCAGCAGCAACGGCATATCATCATCATCTACAGCTATCGACGGCAGCATCGGCTACTTCTTTGGTATTCGATGCCAATACAAATGCCTCCCTAAATAATAGTCAAGTGAATTATTATTGTAACAACGATTTGAGAAATAAAACTCAAACTCAGGTGCAACAGCAACAACAATATCATCATCAACTAAGTGACGTGGCAGGAGGAACATCATCTAGATCAAAACCTTATTTATCGTTAAGTGCTAAAGATAATTGTACGACCTCACCGCAACGTCTCCATAAATCCCTATCGACCAATGGCGGTAGCACTGGCTCGGGATCATCGACCACAGTACAACAATTAATCGATTCCATACCTATGAACTCATTGGCAATACGTTCAACACCTGCCTCGGCCACAAGTCGTTATAAACACTCGAATAGTTTAACTGAATCCTCCAGCTGTGGAGTGGACCCAGCCACAAGTAATCAGCATAAGACTAACTCCCAAAGTGTGCAATATTTAAGCAATAATTGTGGTGGTGGTGGACAGCAAAATCCCGATACAGCAGCAGATACCGGCACTAATAATGGCAATACCACAACAGTATCAACAACGGCCTTAGTACAACAACAATTAACACCGACCACCAACACCATTCAAAGTAGTAGTAGCAACAACACGACTCCAAGCAACAATCAAAACGATAGCTGTTTTACATTTCACGAACAAATTATAATGTCCGGACAACAGAAGGCCACCATGACCGAAAAACCCAAACCTTTGGTAGTATCACCACAACAGGTTATGATACTGTACATGCACAAACTGACACCGTACGAACGTACCGAAATTTTAAGTTACAATCAAATTTATTTCATTGGCGCCAATGCCAAAAAACGTCCCGGTATTGTGGGGCCCAACAATTCGGATTATGACAATGAACAGGGTGCCTACATTCACGTGCCACATGATCATGTCGCCTATCGTTATGAAATGTTAAAAATCATTGGCAAGGGTAGCTTTGGCCAAGTTATTAAGGCCTACGATCACAAGACCCATGAACATGTCGCCCTTAAGATAGTACGAAATGAAGCCCGCTTCTATCGGCAGGCTCAAGAAGAGATACGCATCCTACATCATCTTCGGCGTCAGGATAAATACAATACCATGAACATCATCCACATGTACGACTATTTTACGTTTCGCAATCACATGTGTATCACGTTCGAGCTGCTTAATATTAATCTGTATGAGCTTATAAAAAAGAACGGTTTTAAGGGCTTCTCCCTGCAGCTAATACGAAAATTTGCTCACTCGCTACTGCAGTGTCTGGATGCTTTATATAAAAATGAGATTATCCATTGCGATATGAAACCCGAGAATGTTCTGCTCAAGCAACAGGGACGTTCGGGCATAAAGGTCATTGATTTCGGTTCATCGTGTTTTCAACGCGAACGGGTTTATAGTTATATTCAGTCGAGATTTTATCGTGCACCTGAAGTTATATTGGGTACACAGTATGGCCGTGCCATTGATATGTGGTCTTTGGGTTGTATTTTAGCCGAACTGTTAACAGGACATGCCCTATTTCCCGGTGAAAATGAATCCGATCAATTGGCATGTATCATTGAGGTGTTGGGTATGCCACCCAAAGATCTGCTGCGAAACTCTCGACGTACCAAAGTCTTCTTCAACCCCGAAGGTTATCCACGTTATTGTACAGTACGTAATCTAGCCGATGGTATGGTGGTACTCAAAGGTGGTCAATCACGACACGGTAAGATACGAGGACCGCCGGGTTCAAAAAGTCTTTCACGGGCCTTAGATGGTTGTAAAGATGCATTATTTTTGAATTTTATACGTGGTTGCCTGGAATGGGATCCCGAGAAACGTCTAATTCCCGCTGAGGCTTTGAAACATCCATGGCTTAGAAGGCGGCTACCCAAACCACCGAGTAGTCAAAGTGGTGTGATCAGTAGCGGTAGTGGTGCTAATAGTGTTTGTGAGGAAAAATCACCAGTATCGACGAACTCAAGTGTTTCGGCATCCGCCTCAATTATTATCGATAACAATGGCCATCAGAATGGTGACGAAGGAGGTGGTGGTAGTAATATGGGTGGTGTTTCGGGTAATGGTGGCCTTACTGTAGGCGGTGGTTGTGGTGGAAATAATGGTGTTAGTGGTGGGGGTGATGGTAAAACATCGAACACATCCCATGGCACACAATCATCATTTCACAATACACCTTCCTCCTCGTCCTGCACCGAAAATGTATGGCAGCTACAACAACAACAACAACAGCAGTCTTCAAGCAATTTAGAATATACCATGGGAATTGATAAGAGTAACTATTTGTGAGCAAGGATGTCATTATTATTAATGGATCAAAGGAATGGAAATGCAAATTGAAAAGTGTGGTGAGATTGATGAAATAGAGGTTAAACTTAAATATATATGTCTGTGTATTTGTTAGTATGTGTGTCGTCTGTCTATCAGTCGGTTGGTCAGTAGGATTGTCTGTCTGTGTGTTATATATTATCTTTAAATCTAAGTCATGACTTACAATTGAGGTATTACACTTGCGGCAATTCTGCTTTGTTTGTTAGAGGAGAATTGTGGCAATTAAAAGTTGCATAGTGTAAATCTGGACTAAGAAAATAACAAAAGTATATTAATGTTGTTGTTGTGTAGTACAAAAAAATAAAAAACCAAAGATGATATGTCGAAAATTTTAGAATTTTTTCTAAAGTAAAAAAAAAAAAATAATTGAAATATTCACATCAGTGCAAATACAGGATAAGTAAAATACGTTGAAAACTTCATAAATTTGTGTCAAATGTAAAAATTATAAAAAAACATGTAGGCCCTAAGTTTGTACGAAATGACGGCAGGCACAAGAAGAGATACGTATCCTGCATCATCTTCGGCATCAGTAAAAATATAATGCAATGAATGTCCCATGCATAGATCAAGTCAACTTGTTGGTATGTTAAAGGCCATAGCCGAATTTTCCAAATGTCTGAAATTTAATGTATAGCAGAACTTGTGCAACTGACAACTGCGTGGGTCTCTTAGCATAAGGTTGTTGTACGTCCGAGGACCTCATTCTCTTCACAGCTGTGGACTGTGATCGAGATTCTGGGTCACAATTGCCGAATGAATTTGAGGTTCCTCTTGATCAAAAGGAACTCCTTATCCGTTATGGAGTCGCTGTCCCGTCCGATGAACCGGTTGCAGTAATTAACCGCTCTCCGGTACATTTTCTTGGCAGCCATCTCCTTGGCGTGGACTTGTCTTGCAGTTTCTGGCTCTAATAATTCGTCCATCTTATCAGTCCCAGTCTCCGCTTCGACGGCCAACTGCCTGAGAAGTCTAGCGACGTGATTATAGGCCATGGAGGTGGAGTTCGGATCCTCTACCTCGCCAGTTTTAACACCCCTTACTTCGGAGGAGTCACCAGGATTGCTACTGTGTTCGTCACCGTAGTGCTAATCGCAGTATTTTCCATGTATTTTCCATATTCCTCGTCTGACAAGGGTGAGTCGTTATTAAAATTCGGCTCCATAGAATATATTGATAAGGGTTTGATGTCAACTATGGCATATTACCATGGCAAGGACACGGCAACTAAGCCTGAATGAACTTATTGGGGCGCCCAGGTATCAACCAGGCTCCGTTCTAATACAGACGAGACCCTGACTGCAAACCCTAGAACACTGATGGGCACAAGTTACATGGCACTCCAACGTTAGGGGGATCACTTTTAAGGGGTAGTGACTCAGACCTTTGAGATGGGTATTTAGGGTAGCCCATTGGGATCATAGGCACTAGGTCATTTCCTCCGAGGCTCTCCCCCTTAGCCCGCTGAGTGTCCGTTACCCAAAGAATACTACTGAATAGCTCTGCTCCCCGAAGCCGGAGAAAAGCTGTATTATTTCTTCAACTCTTAAAGCTAGATCAGGCTAGATGGCGGGTAGGAAATCTATACATTATATTAAGGCTGCCAGATTATAAAAAGTTTTACTTTCAGTATTTTCTTTCTTGTTTAATAATTTAAATCAGACAGGAGTAATCCAATAATTATATATTTCATATAGCATTTTTTTAATAATTTTCACGTTCAAGAAAATTTTAAATTTTACATAAATGTATGGTAATTTTCTTGACAGATCATCTTTGGTAAATTAGCAGAAAATAAATCCCACAACCCTTCTAAAAGCCAGCCTCCCAATACAAACCTTTTTTCCCGATAAATAAACCCCGAATAAAACCAAACGATTTTCAAATATTTTCAAAATCCAATACCGAGAAAACACACGTCTAAATAAATCCTCCAAATATATATATATATATACACAATATTATATAGCAAATACAATAACAAGTTAAAAATAACAATTAGCGCAAACAACACTAAAAATATACACAACTCATGAGATTTTTTTGTTGGCAATGAAAAAAAAGAACAAAACTGATTTTATTTAAAATAAAAGTAACATATTTAAAATTAATAAAAATAAATTAATAAGTAATTGAAAAGAATTGTAATCTTTAAACTCTATACCTCATGTATTTTGCCATGAGTTAAAATAAATGCTCCTAGAGCCTATTTTTACCACACTTATACTCACTCACTCTCACACACACTCACACCAAAACTAAGCCAGAATCTGTCTTAATATTTAAGTAGTAACAAATGATAAAAAAAGAAAACAAAAATGTGTTTTGTTTTTAGGTTAAACCTCTTTTTCTATACTACTCTAGATGTGTCTTCTAATCTTGTTTTCCCATTTCATTAGGTTTTCCTAGAAACTAACGTGTTAGAATATAACAATGTTTTGTTTTTGTGTTAAATATTTGCTAAGTAAAAAAATGAAAACAATATTTATTTAAAACTAAAGTACTTTTTCCTATACAACTTGTATTTGTATGAGATATGAGAAAGAAAATATAAATTTTGTTTATTTATAGAATTTTTGTTTTTGCCAGAGAGTAATTCGTTAAGCCACAATGTTGTGCAACAAAAATAAATCAACCAACAAAAAATTAAAAATAAAATAACAGATTAAACGCATACAAAATAATAACAATAAATAAAATAAAAAACATATAATTCTTTAATTATCACCAGTTGGTATGAAAATGTTGTGTGTATGTGTCTCATTTTATTATTATTTGGGGATAATGAATAACAAAGACGCATTTTTAAGAGGTATTCTGTCGATTAATGATTTTAACGCATAGATAGGTAGATAGATAGAAATGTCAAAAAGTAATAATAAATCCGCAATAATGAATAAATTGGAATAAACACAATCATTGTATGAATTAATCCAGGTATCCAGCTATTGAAGAGTTTATTGTGGACAAAGGAATCAAGCCTATGACCCAATTGTGTATGTATGGTTAGGTTAGGTTTGGGATGTACGGCTGTTGTAACAACCGTCCACTCGGAGACTATGTCCATTGTGATCATCCATTATGTATAGGTGTACCTATAAAGAGAGAGAAGAAAAGATAGTGGAAGAGTAGAGAGAGAGGTAGTCAGAATAGGAGGGAGCGGAAGCGGAAGAGACATTATTTTAGCCAAGTCAATTTTTTGACAAAGCCTAGAATTAGGTTAGGGTCTATTTTGGAGAAGAAGACTAGATTATCAATTTCATAACATCCAAACTGTTTATGTCTTCTGCTGATCAGCGATGGACATTTGCAAAGGATGTGCTCAATTGTTTCCACTTCTTCTTCATCCTCACATAGACGACAGTAATCCTCTCCACTGGAGTCCCACTTAGAAGTGAGAGATCTAACTTTGCAGTGACCAGTAATGATCCCCACAACGATCTTAATCTCCCTCTTGTTGTGATCCAGCAGCGAAGACGTTCTTTTATGAGAGAATTCTGGCCAGATAGATTTAGAGATTCTGCATGCAGGTTCCCTTAGCCATCTGTTGCCGACTACCTCGCAATAGAACGCACGGATTCTGCCAATGAAATAGCTAATAGGGGGTTTCACAGATCTCTCAATCAGAAGACTGGACGACTGTGACCCCCCTCGAGCAAGCTCGTCGGCTATCTCATTCCCTTCAATATCGTTATGTCCTGGAACCCAGCATAACCCAACTATTTGACGTATATCATTCAGAGCGGTCTTACAATCATGAACTGCTTTCGAGTTTATAGTATGCGACTTCACCGCTTTCAGGGCCGCCTGACTATCTACGTAAATAGTCACCGGTCCTGTAAAGTCTGTATTAAGTGCTTTTACTATCTCGGCCGCTTTCGTGATTGCAAGAATCTCTGCTTGAAAAACGCTACAATCATTGTTGAGTTTATATGAGTTTCGTATACCTAATTCCCTGCAGTAGACGCCTGCGCCAGTGCCTTCTTCCATCTTGGACCCGTCTGTGAAGATTGACAGACCTGGCAGAGGTAGGGAGCCACTAGTCCAGGATTCCCTGTTAGGAAATTCGACTTTAATGTCATTAAAATCCCTGTGGGGGGGAATATAATCACTGATATGACTATCCCCCCTAAAAAGGTCATAACTTGGCGTTATGTTTAGAATGCTGGCATGACCATAGTTCCGCGATTTCAAGGCATCTGTTTCCCGGAGTCTCAGGGCACACCTAGCAGCCTGGAATTTGATCAGAATGTCCAATGGTTGGAGATTCAAGATTGCGTTCAAGGCTGCTTGTGGTGTGCTTCTTAATGCTCCAGTGATCAGAATTGAAGCCGATCGCTGTACTAAGCTCAGTCTTGTCAGCAGCTTCTTTTTATTCACCCCCTGCCACCAGACAAGACATCCATAGGTAAGTATGGGTAAGACAATCGTCGTATACAGCCAGTGTATAATTCCGGGTCTCAATCCCCAACTCTTGCCTATGGAGTTCTTGCATGAATAGAGTGCCATCAATCCCTTCTTAGAGCGTTCCTCGACATTCCTATTCCACAGTAACTTGCGGTCTAGGACAGTGCCAAGATATTTAGCTTCATCAGAGAGAGTTAATGTCACTCCACCAAGTGATGGCAGACGGAAACTAGGAACTTTGTATTTCCTAGTGAAGAGTACCAGTTCGGTTTTTGTGGGGTTTACACCAAGACCTTTGGTGCAAGCCCAATTTGACAGGGTTGAAAGAGCACCCTCCAGGATGTCTGATATTGTCGTAATAAACTTACCCCCAACCAACAAGACTACATTGTGTATGTATACATTGTGTATGTATACAAAGAACAATTTTGGAAATGTAATAACTTTGTAAATTTATTTTTTCCAGGCTTCATGATTCCAATGAATCTTACGGGCATGTGCTGGCATTCACTTCAGGCGTAGAAGTGTATCGAACACACGTCGAACTGTTCTGTAACACACTTTACACCCGTTTGAAGTGAATTCTTTCCACTCACATTTTTATAGTGAGAGTCATGTTTTTCTATATAAAATAACGCTGGCTTAACTTGTAAAAGCAACAAGTCCAATTTTCGAGAAATTGAGATTTTGATACAGTTATGTATAAAGAGGCAAAATACATCGATCTAAAAAAATAAAAATAGAGTTATCTCATTTGTTATTGTTGTCGCTGGCTTAACATCATGTAAAGACTGTAAGTCCACTTTTTATTTTGAAGATTTTGGCCATGATTTTCAGCCGAATTGACTGTAATTTGGTATTTTAGGTACTTATGGGGTAGCTCATCTTCCAACAAAAACATATCAATATTGGTCCACTTTTTAGGGTACCGCCCATATAACGTTATCCCCAATATTCGACCTGCCTAAATAGCGACGTTTTTACTTGTTTCTTCATATTTTTGAATGAATTATTATTCCAAAACAATCTTTACTCTTTTAGATAATATTAACATGTAAAAAATCAAAATTATTGCAGTAATTAGAAAATATAATGGTAGACAAGTTGTAAGAAAAAGTCCTAAGTCCATTAAAACATGCAAACTTAGCGACAGAAAAAGCTCTAAGTCCCAAAAAAGGCGTGTATCTCCGCAAATACTTATTTTTTTCATTTTGCCTTTACGCAATTAAATTACACATACAATACAAAAACAAATTGCATTTACAGATTTAAAAAAATCTTTATTCAAAATAAAGTTTTTTGTCTCTCCTGAAAAAATGTGAAATATGGACTTGGCGCCTTTACAAGTTAAGCCAGCGATAATATTATTAGATTAATATGTTAGGTTAGGGATGTGCGGTTGTTAATAACAACCGTTCACTCAGATACAATTGTCCATTGTGATCGTCCTTGATACTTGAAATGAAAAGGGAAAAGAAAAGAGAATGGAAGAGAGGAAAACATAGTTGGAGTTGGAGAGCTTAGAAAATGGTTAATCCTCAGTAATCCTCTCTGTTGGAGTCCCATTTCGAAGTGAGGGATCTAATCTTGTAGTGACTTGTTATGATACCCACAATAGTTTTTATCTCTGTCTTAGTATGTGACAACAGCAAAGAAGTTCTTCGGCGAGAGAATTCAGGCCAGATAGCTTTTGAGAGTCTGCAACCCGGTTCTCTCGACCATATGTTGCCGACTACCTCGCCGTATAACAAACGGATTTTAAAATAGTCAATGGATGGTTGCACAGATCTCTCAATCGGAAGATTGGACGACTGTGAACTCCCTCGTCGTCGGCTATCTCGTTCCATTCTATGTTGTTATGTCCTGGAACATGTTTTAACTATCCGTCGTATATCATCAGATCAGACTTGCAATCAAGAACTGCTTTTGAGTTTGTAGTGCACGACTTTTAAGCCTCGAGGGCCGCCTGACTATCGACATACATGATCACCGGTCCCGTATTATCGGCAGTAAGTGTTTAGACTATTTCGGCCGCTTTCGTGATTGCAATGATTTCAGCTTGAAGAATGCAACAAAGATTGTTAGATTTATATGAGTTGTATATTTCTAATTCCCTACAGTAAACGTCAGGGTGTTGTGTGCTCTCACTCGTTTGTTATGCGTGTGCGAACATTCTTTGGCGAATGCTCGTTTGGTAAAGAATTTAGCGCCATAAATTCATTCGTAAAATGAACACAAAACGAAAAGAATGTATTTTAATTCATTCGCGAGCGAATTTTTGCGCACCCTGGTAAACGCCCACACCAGTGTCTTCCTCCATCTTTCACCCGTCTGTGAAAAATGACATACCTGGCAGAGGTAAGGAGCCACAAGTCCAGGATTCCCTACTAGGAAAATCTACTCTGATGTCGTTGAAGTGCCCCAGGGCACATCATGCAACCTGGTATTTAATCAGAGTGTTCAGTGGTTGGAGATTGAAGATCGCATTCAAGGCTGGCTGTGGTGTCCTTCTTAGCGCTCCGGTAGTCACGATCGAAGCCGATCGCTGTACTGAATTCCTTTTAGTCAGCAGTATCTTTTTGTTGACCCTCTGCCACCATTCAAGGCATCAATATGTAGGAATGGGGAGGAGACCGTCACATACAACCAACTATGCAGTTCTTGCAGGAGTAGAGTGCTATTAGTCTTTTCATAGAGCGTTCCTCAACATTTCTATTCCACGTTAATTTGCGATCAAGGGGTAAGGTCACTGCACCCAAAGATGGCAAGCGGAAATTTGGAATCTTACGTTTCCTAATGAAGAGCACCAATTCTGTCTTAGTGCGGTCTACACCAAGTTAATATGAATAATAAAATATTAAAAAAATAATAATTTAACTATCGTTAGAATTAACGAAATTAATAAAAATGACAGAAACAATGTTGTGTTTTTGTTGAGCAGAAGTTCCAAATTTTCAATTCACGTGATAAGCAGAACAGGAGGTAACTTCTGAGGGGAAGTGTATGGGTGAAGTGTAAAAAACTCACCTCATGTTCCACAGCATACCCGATAGTATCCATCCTACGTTCAGATTCGTTCAAACCATGTTGATGTAGCAATCCTACAGTTAATATCCAATAGGATTAGGTGACAGTGGTCGAGTAAGATTCGAGATAGGTTGGTGGTTGATTTGGCTGTTTGAGAAAAGTCAGAGCTCATATAAAACAAATCGGTCAAAAAAATATATTTTTACCAAATAATACTGGTTGTTAAACACGGTGGTAAGGCCCATCCTTTCCTATGGTTATCTTGTTTGGTGGCACTGCTTGCGCCACAAGTCGACATCCATCCAAACTAGACAATGTACAAAAAACCACCTCGATTCTAATAACTAGAGCCGCGAGAATAACCCCACAAGCAGCTCTGAACGCAATGCTGAACTTAAGGCCTGTGTGTCTCAGCATTAAGTGTCAGGCAGCGCGTAGTCCCCTAAGGCTACATGAAAAAAATCTATGGCGTACCTACGGGCATGGATGTATCCTGAACGAACTAGGTACGACATTGGACCAAGGCGTAAAACTAAGCGTCTATATATCACCAGTCCTGAGATTTGATGATATAGATGTCGTTATCCCTAGTAGAGACGACTAGAACCGTAGCAACCCTCCTTTGGACAGTCTGGCATTTTATACAGACGGATCCAAGATGGAAGAAGGTACAGGGACTGCCGTCTATCGTAGATAAGGGTGTGGCTAAATCTAATAAGCAAAATCGTCCTCAATAGTACGGTGAAGGGACTAATATCCAACCCCAAATATTTTAATGTGACATCAATAAATCCCCCACCGGTTTAATTTCCAAGTAACATTAAAATATGATGGCCAAAGAATAGTACTCATTAGAACTGGAAAACGTTATAGTTATTTGAGAAGCAGTTGGATTTCAAATGAATGATTCTCAAACGCTTGCTCGAGAATCTAAGAACTTCTAAGTCTAAGTTCTAAGTTCAATATTCATGCAAAATTTTAAAATAAATCGAATACAAATATTTTGATTTTCTTTTTCTCATCTTGGAGAAAACTTGCTTTTGTTTATTGAATTTTTATAACGATTTTTTTCAAATTTTTTTCTAATTACAAACTCTAATATTGGTTTTCGTATAAAATACATCAAGTCGATACGGTCTTAATACAAACGCCTATTTCTTAATCATCGTCATCATCAACAACACCATCTAATCATCATATTTGTTTTGATGAGAAGAATGACGAGATTTTTGTTGACGAGCTGGAGTTCTCTTGCCATAGGGGCTTTGTTCGTTCACTTCCAACATATAGTCACCGGAAACATCACGAGCAGTATTGATACCCATGTAGGCACGTTTGCCATAACCCTCCTTATTCTTGTATTCCTTAAAGCAATTGGCCTTGACAGCTGGGAAGTTACGTTCATTACCGGGCAAGACAGTTTCGGTGTAGTAGCGTGTAGCCTGCAATTGAGCATCAAAGACATTGCGAGCACCAGGACAACCCTTTGATGGACCATTGGGGAAGAAATCAACATCACCGACACGTCTGGTTGTACCCAAAGCCAAGGCAGAAGTGTGGATGGCATCGACGAACTTAGCATCACCACGAGCCAAACCAGTCAACACTTTGGGGTCCTTGGCCATTTGGCTGGCAGGGTCCAAGGCAGTGATACGATCCAATTTGTGGGTAGTCAAGGCCTTGAATACTTTACCGGCAACACCGCAAACATTGGCAGCCACACCCTGGCCAATGACATGGATATTATCGTGGGGAACACATTCATTGGTCAGCTCAACCAAAGATTTGGCCAACATTTTGCCGGTTTCATCGACATCCAAGGTGGCGTAACGTTGAACATTGGTGATAGTGTGTCCCAAATCGATGACAACCAAATGGCCACCTACAGGCTTGTTGTTTTCCCAATTCGATTGATCTTCACCGTTAGGCGCCTGGGGTTTTTGGCTGTTACGTTGGACATAGGCTTGGATGAATTTGGTGTTGGTCTTCTGGGCCTTTTCCAAACTTTCGGGCAAACCAGTAACGAACACCGTCACTTCCTGTTCGCCAAAACGAGGCATCTCCTTGGCAGTTTCAACGTAATTCTTCAAATTGCTGGTTTCCTTTTCACCACGGCTGCCGAAAATGTAGACGGGAATGTTGCTTGGGCTGGGTACGAAACTGGGTGCAACACCATTTTTGATTTGAGACAAGTGGTCTGTGAATGAAACAAATAACAGATTTGAAAAAAATGCTCCTTTTCAAAAATTCCCCCACAACTACTTACACAATTTACGCATCAACTTGGCTCCCTTTTCCAATGGCATATTCTCCACTTGTTCGAGGCTCAATTCGTCCAATGATGGTGTTGCCTCCAATTCACTGGGATTCAGCCATTGTGCAGGTTTCAAGCTATTCTGGCGCGATGATGATGGTGTGGCCAAAGCGCCGGCCATTAAACAGGCCACAACACAAACAACTCCCAATGGATTCATAATGAGCGGATGGATCAGTACGTCGTAATGTCGTCAACTACCCTTAACGTTTGCCTTATTCGAAACGTTAACTGTGCTCTATCCACCCATGGCATGGGGTTTTTATAGTAAATTTTGCAGAATATTGAATTGAAACGAAATCGAATTGAATTTTCAGCAAAAATAAAAATATTCGTTTAAATTGCTGATGCTGACATGACTACAACGCAAAAAGTAGTACACAAGTTAGTTTATCACCGTTTTGCCGCTGTGGACGTACATATGTGGTAATTCGTATTCATCGATTGTGGAAATTTATATACGAATGTATGTATTTCAATCAATGGAAAAGTTTTGATCAAATGATCGCTCTTTAAGATGGATTTTTTTCATGTTAATCACTCCTCTGGAAGACCTTCAGTCTATGTTGTTCATCCTGGATATCACAGAAGAAAGGGGAATTAAATCGATAGTGTTCGAATAGCTAGGATTAGACATATGTATGGCTACATGGCCAAACTAGATTTTGGCAGCTGGGAAGTTAAGTTCATTGTCGGCAGGGCCAATTTCGGGGTAACAGCGGTGAGCATTGGGTTATAGGCGTGGATTTTTATACCCTTCACCACACTGTGGTACAGGGTATTATGTCTTTGTGCATATGTTTGTAACAGGCAAAAAGAAACGAGATAGACACATGGTTCCTTTTGAGAATATGCATAGAATCACTTTCTAAGTCGATATATGCATGTCCGTCCGTCCGTCCGTCTGTCTGTCCATGTTAAATTGTAAACAAAGTACATTTATGATCCGAATTGGATGAAATTTGGCATAGGTCACTTATTCGGCCCAAGGACGAACCCTATTGAAATTGGGAAAAATCGGTTCAGATTTAGATATTGCTCCCATATATATATTTAACCGATTTAATGTAAACGGTCCCTATATATCTTTCGATTTGCACGAAATTTGGTACAGCCTAATCATTTAGGTCTAGAATGACGTCTGCCAAGTTTCGTGAAAATCGGTCCAGATTTAGATATAGCTCCCATATATAGTTTCGTCCGATTTCATGTAAATGGTGCCCCAAAGTCCCTATATATCTTTTGATTTGCACGAAATTTGGTATAACGTGCTGAATTAAGTCTAGAGTGATGTATGCCAAGTTTAGAGAAAATCGGTCCAGATTTAGATATAGCTCCCATATATAGTTTCGTCCGATTTGATGTTAATGGTGCCCAAAGTCCCTATATATCTTTCGATTTGAACGAAATTTGGTACAGCCTAATCATTTAGGTCTAGAATAGTGTCTGCCAAGTTTCGTGAAAATCGGTCCAGATTTAGATATAGCTCCCATATATAGTTTCGTCCGATTTCATGTAAACGGTGCACAAAAGTCCCAATATATCCTTCGATTTGCACGAAATTTGGCATAACGTACTTAATTGACCCTAGAATGATGTCTGCCAAGTTTCGTGAAAATCGGTCCAGATTTAGATATAGCTCCCTTTTATTATAGATTGATTTTAAGTAATTGACGTACAATAGGAACAAAACGTTCTGAAATTAGTATAACCTAACCAGTGACAAGTTTGTTTGAAATCGCTCAATATTTGGATAGAGCTTCCATATATATTTTCGCCCGATTTCAAGTAAATTGGGCATCAAACTCCTCATGTTAGTCAGATTGACATCAAATTTTGCACAACTTACAAAATTGTGCATAGAATTACGTAGTTGCGTTTTCTAGAAGTGCAGACATAGCCCAACGGATGACCTATTTATATTTGTTTGAAGTCGATTGACATACTTTATGGATAGATCTAGGTAGATTCACATTTAGATAAATATCACATTTTTTTCATCCAATTTTATGTTATCGTCCTGTTTAATATACCCATAGTGGTGAAGGGTATCATATAGTCGGCCCCGTCCGACTTTACTACTTTCCTTACTGCTTTAAAGTATATTTTTTCTCAAACACCATCAGAGCTCTAGGCGTGGATTTTTTAAAGAATATTTTTTCTCAAACACCATCAGAGCTCTAGGCGTGGATTTTTTAAAGAATATTTTTTCTCAAACACCATCAGAGCTCTAGGCGTGGATTTTTTAAAGAATATTTTTTCAAATACCATCAGAGCTCTAGGCGTGGATTTTTTAAAGAATATTTTTTCAAACATCATCAGAGCTCTAGGCGTGAATTTTTTAAAGAATAATTTTTTCAAACATCATCAGAGCTCTAGGCGTGAATTTTTTAAAGAATATTTTTTTCAAATACCATCAGAGCTCTAGGCGTGGATTTTTCAAAGAATATTTTTTTCAAATACCATCAGAGCTCTAGGCGTGGATTTTTCAAAGAATAATTTTTTCTAATACCACAAGAGCTCTAGGCGTGGATTTTTCAAAGAATTTTTTTTCAAATACCATCAGAGCTCTAGGCGTGGATTTTTTAAAGAATATTTTTTCTCAAACACCATCAGAGCTCTAGGCGTGGATTTTTTAAAGAATATTTTTTCAAACACCATCAGAGCTCTAGGCGTGGATTTTTTAAAGAATATTTTTCAAACACCATCAGAGCTCTAGGCGTGGATTTTTTAAAGAATATTTTTTCTCAAACACCATCAGAGCTCTAGGCGTGGATTTTTTAAAGAATATTTTTTCTCAAACACCATCAGAGCTCTAGGCGTGGATTTTTTAAAGAATATTTTTTCTCAAACACCATCAGAGCTCTAGGCGTGGATTTTTTAAAGAATATTTTTTTTTTCAAGTACCATCAGAGCTCTAGGCGTGGATTTTTTAAAGAATATTTTTTCTCAAACACCATCAGAGCTCTAGGCGTGGATTTTTTAAAGAATATTTTTTCTCAAACACCATCAGAGCTCTAGGCGTGGATTTTTTAAAGAATATTTTTTCTCAAACACCATCAGAGCTCTAGGCGTGGATTTTTTAAAGAATATTTTTTCAAACACCATCAGAGCTCTAGGCGTGGATTTTTTAAAGAATATTTTTTCTTTCTCGTGGATTTTTTAAAGAAACACCATCAGAGCTCTAGGCGTGGATTTTTTAAAGAATATTTTTTCTCAAACACCATCAGAGCTCTAGGCGTGGATTTTTTAAAGAATATTTTTTCTCAATTTTTTAAAGAATACCATCAGAGCTCTAGTCTTGGATTTTTCAAAGAATTTTTTTTCAAATACCATCAGAGCTCTAGGCGTGGATTTTCTAAAGAATATTTTTTTCAAGCTCAGAGCTCTAGGCGTGGATTTTTTAAAGAATATTTTTTCTCAAACACCATCAGAGCAAAAAATCAATCAGCAAAATCTATTGTTGACCTCAGAACTAAACGTGTGGCCGGCTATTTTTCGCAACGATATAATTATTACAAAATCAAAAAGGGGTTAATAAACTTTAACCACAATAATTTTTATGTCGGCATTTTACATCCGGCGATAATAAAATAAACGACGACGTCGTTCAATAAATCAATAATTTCAATTTTGGGCCAGTCAGCAAAAATCCTGGAGCTAATTTTGTGAAGACCAACTATAATGACTATAAAATGTTATGAGTGAATACGAAAAAGGTACAGTTCAGACAGCACTCACTGATCGTCAAAAATCCAAAGCGAGGACAACAAGGACAAACACGACATGAATACTTTCAAACTTTTATTTGTGGTGGGTCTGTTGGCAGCTACTGCGAGTGCCAATCGCCAACATCATCAACATCAACAATCGCAGAAGTTAAAACCAAGCGAATGGTTCTCCCCCAAACAATTAAAAGATTGTCCATCACTGGATGATGTCACCGTTGAGCGTTTGGAAAATATGTCCTTGGAGGAAGGAGCTGAGACTTTGCGTACCATTTGTAAGTATACTTTTTTAATTTTCGAAGCCCTTGGTGCCTGGAACTCAATGAAATATTTTTGTTTTTAACTCTTCTCTTCTTTTAGACCACGTTTCCCACATCAACTATGACATGCAGCCATCGTATACACCAACTCCCAGCAGCATTCCCGTGACAATCTTCAAAAGCAATGGCGAAAAGGTCGAGACCACCTTGGACAAAATGGCCTCCACTGCCAAACAAATGCCCAAATTTGGCAAACAGGAGATTACCATTTACATTACCGGTGTCCCAGCTAAAACGGAAACTGTACACAAGGCCAATAGTGAACTTGTAAATGCCTATGTGGAACGTTATCGCCATCGTGCCTCCAAGACCGAAGAGGAAAATCCCAATACTGGTAATTTGGTGGTAAGTAAACAAAACCAACCACATTTTCCATGCATTCTCTCACAATTCCATTACAGGTCATTGATTTGGGTGAACAATTGTCCAGTGCCAAACGTTACGCCTTGTTGGATGTTGAAGAAACCGGTGAAAAGATTGCCGAAAGCATTGCCGATTTGATTGAAGAATGCAAGGTACCCCACAACATTGTCCATATTGTGGCCCATAATATTGCCGCTCATGTTGCTGGTGCCGCTGGTGAGGCATTCGAACGTCAAACTGGTGAACAATTTAGCCGGATCACTGCCCTGGATCCTTCCAAAATCTATGCCGAAGAATCGGATTGTTTGACCGGTTTGGCTCGTGGTGATGCTGAATTTGTTGATGCCATCCATACCTCTGCCTGGGGCATGGGCACAACCCGTCGTGTCGGTGATGTTGATTTCTTCCCCAACGGTCCATGCCGTGGTGTTCCCGGTACAAACAATGTTATCCAGGCCACTATGCGTGCCGTTCGCCTGTATGCTGAATCTGTCCGTCCCGGTCATGAACATAATTTCCCCGCCGTTGAAGAACGTTCCGTTGAGAATTACAAGAATTATGGTTGTGGTAAACGTGTCCATATGGGTCTGGCTGTTGACAAGAATGCCAAGGGTGATTTCATCCTCCAGGTGAATGAACAGAGTCCCTTCGGCCAACGTGCTCCAGCTAAACACAATAAGGAATGCCATAAATCTCATAGATCCTCTGCCACCTGGTCGTCGGAAAGAAATTAAATTCGAGCGGAAATCAAATTGCGTATCTATCAACTTCAAAGATTGTCAGAATCATTTCGTTTAGTATATTTCGGAAAAAAATAATTTTTGTACATTTTTTTATAAATAAATTGTTGGCATTGAGAAAATACTTCTTCTACATTTTTAAAATTTTTTTCAAAATATTTTAAAGGGCGTTCAGTCGTGGAACAATCTTTAAAAAATATTTTAAAATGACCATGCGAACATTTTCAAAGGCCCAATTAAGGCGTGAATTTTTAAAATAATAACTTTTTAAACCCCCAATTAAGGGTGGATTTAAAAAAATAATTAAAAAAAAAACAATTTTTTGATGGCCCAATTAAGGCGTGGATTAAAAAAATAATTAAAAAAATATTTTTTTGAAGGCCCAATAAAGGCGTGGATTTAAAAAATAATTTAAAAAACAATTTTTTGATGGCCCAATTAAGGGGTGGATTTAAAAAAAAAATTTTGAAGGTCCAATTAAGGCGTGGATTAAAAAAAAAATAATTTAAAAAAAATTTTGATGGCCCAATTAAGGAGTGGATTTAAAAAAATATTTAAAAAAAAATTTGACGGCCCAATTAAGGCGTGGATTAAAAAAAATAATTTAAAAAAATTTTTTGAGGGCCCAATTAAGGCCTGGTTTTTAAATACAACTTTTAACAGCTTAGCCCCAGTATAGTTCTCCAATTCAGACACCTATACATAAACAGTACATCGTAATCAAGCCAATTTTTATTTCTTTAATTCCTAGAGACCTTCATCAAATAAAAACCAATAAGGAAAGTTCAAAAGCCGACTATATGACATCCTTCACCACTATGGGTAATATATACAATATCCTGTAGATAGAACAGACATATCTTCTTTAGAGGACCTTGGAAATGGAATCGGGCGAAATTAAATGTGTGATTTACATAGATATTTCAACCTATAACAAAACCTCATAAACATATCATTGCGAATCTATGAAAAATTCTATGTCAATCGGGGAGACTTGGATTCTTTAGTGTACAATTAGTATAAAACCTAGCAAAATTATGTATGTAATTTTATCTCGTGTATATGGAACAGACGTAGGCTCCTCGGGAAACCATTTGCGTAAAATAAGATGAAAATATATATGGCAGATATATCTATATTTAAACCGATTTTCACGAAATATACAATATCGTGCAAATCGAAAAAATATAGGGGCTTTGGCGCACCATTAACATAAAATCTGTCGAAAATATATATGGGAGCTATATCTAAACCTCAAGCGACTTTCCCAAAATTTAACACGCATCATTCTAGACTTAATTCAGTACGTTATGCTGAATTTTCTGCAAATCGAAAGATATAAAGGGGCTTTGGTGCAATATTTACATTAAATCGTCGAATATATATATATATATATATATATATATATATATATGTGTGAGCTATGCTAAATCTTAACCGATTTTCACGAAACTTAACACACATCATTGTAGGCTTAATTCAATATACTGTGTCAAACTTAGAGAAAATCGAAAGATATATAGGTACTTTGGTGATCCATTAACATAAAATCGAAGGAAAATATATATGGGAGCTATATCTAAATCTGGACTGATTTTCACAAAACTTAGCAATTCAGAACGCTATGCCAAATTTCATAAAAATCGGAATCACATAAAATCGGACGAAAATATATATGGGAGCTATATCTGAATCGGAACCGATTTTTATGAAACTTAGCACACATCATTCTAGATTCAATTAAGTGCGTTGTGCCAAATTTCATGCAAATCGAAAGATATATAGGGACTTTGGTGCACTATTTACTTAAAATCGGACGAATATATGTATGGGAGCTATATCTAAATCCGAACCGATTTTTACGAAACTTAGCACACATCATTCTATCATGCCAAATTTCATGCAAATCGAAAGATATATTGGGACTTTGGTGCACCATTTACTTAAAATCAGACGAATATATGTATGGGAGCTATACCTAAATCTGAACCGATTTTCACGAAACTTAGCACACATCATTCTGGACTCTGGACTGTGCTAAATATCGTACAAATCGAAAGATATGTAGGGACTTTGGTGAACCATTTACATAAAATCGGACGAAAATATATATGAGAGCTATACATAAATCTGAAACGATTTTCCCCAATTTCAATAGGGTTCGTCGATTCCTTTTGCCTGTTACAAACATATGCACAAAGACATAATACCCTGTACCACAGAGTGGTGAAGGGTATAATTGTTCAAAACTCTTTTTATAATTTCAATTATTTTTTATTGTTTTTATTTTTTTTCAACTAAATTCTAACTATTAAAAAAAATTACAAAATTTCACAGTTCCAAAATTATTTGCCGGTTTTTTCGGTGCGAAAATACATTCCATGCCATGTTTCCTTAATAACTTTCATCATTGAAAGATTGTACAGATCTCTGTTGGGGAGCAGAACGTTTGCCAAATGGACTTTGTTCGTTGACTTCCAAAATGTAATCACCGGTGGTGTCACGACGTGTGGCAATACCCATATAGGCCCGCTTGCCATAACCTTCCTTGCTACGGTATTTCTTCAACGAGTTAGCTTCCAAGGCGGGGAAATTACGGCTATTACCAGGACGTACAGTTTCAGCATAGTAGCGGGTAGCACGAGTTTGAGCATCGATGACATTACGGCTTCCAGGAGTACCTTCGCATGGACCATTGGGGAAGAAATCAACATCACCAACGCGTCTGGTGGTGCCCATGCCTAAGGCAGAGGTGTGAATGGCATCGACGAAATTGGCAGATCCACGAGCTAGACCGGACAAAACTTTAGGGTTCTTGGCAACTTGACGGGCAGGGTCCAAAGCAGTAATGCGATCCAATTTGTGGCTGGTTATGTCACGGAAAGCTTTACCAGCGGAACCGGCAACATTGGCAGCAATACCCTGGGCAACAACATGCATATCCTCAACATCGACATCGCACTCCTCCATCAATTCGGCGAAAGTCTTAGCAATCATTCTTCCGGTTTCTTCAACGTTCAAGGAGGTATAACGTTGGACACTGTTGATGGTGTGACCCAAATCGATGACAACCAAATGACCACCAACTGGCTGTTCATTTTCCCACTTGGAGCTATCTTCATCCTTTGGTGGTTGGGGTTTTTGGCTGTAACGTTGAATGTAGGCTTGGATCAAACGGTTGTTGGCCTTCTTGACATCATCCAAGGATTGGGGTAAACCGGTAATGAAAACTGTGACTTCTTGTTCGCCGAATCGGGGCTTGTTCTTGGCAATATCGACATAGTTGTTCAAGTTGCAGGTTTCCTTTTCGCCCTTGTTGTTGAAAATGTAGACGGGGACATTGCTGGGGCTGGGCACAAAATTGGGCGTCACGGAGTAATCGATTTGAGACAAATGATCTGCAATAAAGAGGAAATAATTTGAATTTAATGTCTCCCACAGGAGCTAAGTACATCTAAAATACTTACAAATCTTGCGCACCAATTTGGCACCCTTCTCCAATGGCATATTTTCCAATTGTTCAAAGGTTAGCTCATCCAGGGATGGTGTACTTTCCAATTCACTGGGTTTCAACCATTGTGATGGCTTCATGTTGCTACTCTGGGAAGTGGGTGAGGCCAACGAGCCCACGGCCACAATGGCTACAAAGCCCAAAACTGCTAAAGGATTCATAATTGAGTTCGAGTTGATATTTCCAAGTTCCGCTAATATTTGCCGGACAACTTCAACTGTTTATTCCGAATGTTGAAATGTGCCTTTCACCTTCAAGGTAAGAGGTTTTTATAATAAAAAATTCATCAGCAGTATCATCACAGCCCGTGGATCTGTTTGCTGAGTAACTAAAATAATCAGTTTTTTTCTTTTTTTGCTGATTTAAACAAATTCGGTAATTTTGCTCAGGTTTGATATTTTTGTTTGTTTTCGTTTTCCTTTCGATTGGAAATATTAGCGTTCCCTTTGCATAGAAATAAACAAAATAAATTTTGCATACGTAATTACAAAGTAAAATTGCATTAACAAACAAAAAATCGGAACGGCAGCAACGGAAGAAGATCACTCACTACTACCAATCACCGTTGATGGGAAAATTTTCTATTCAATTCTTTACAATCACAATTGTTTAATTTATTCTAGATATTTTGGTTAAGGCAAGTGTCTAATTCTTAATAAATTTAAAACAAACTCATATATAAGCATATCCAAGGGATTACGTATGTGAAGATATATCTGGTTAAATAAGTTTATTTTTATAATCTCTAGTGGTATTAACATTACCACTATGATATAAATTTTAGAAAACAATTATTGGTCTATATACTCGATAATTTGTCTAACATATTTGAGTTGATCATGAAAATATATTCATGAAAGCCTATTCACTGACAAACATTTCTATATATATATATATACTAATTAATTTTTAAATATATTTTCTTCAAAAAAGAAATCCCATCCCTCTTTGAGAGACTTTCTAAAAATATTCATAAAAAATCCACATTTTGAGAGTATTTCTAAATATGATCTTACAAAAATGAACCAGTAAGGAAAGTAGTAAAGTCAGACTGGGCCGACTATATGATATGTATCCTTACAATTACATGTCAATGTTCTCTCGAAGGAACATACTCATGGCTTTTTACTAAATTTAATTTCATTAGGGCAGATTTAGAGTCGGCAGCTTACCATGCGACAAATTTATGGAAAACGATTTATATCAAAATTGTGCAAAATTTCTTGTTAATCGGATAAACATTATATGGGCAATATTGCCAAGTTTTTAACATAGCTGAAGCGGAGGTTCACCCCTTTATAACTCGGGCACTACTTAAGTATATGAAAAAAAGTGAATAGTTTTGGGTTAATTGATCTGTCGTTGCAAACTGTTCATGATATTGACCTCCAAACTTTATATTGGTGGAAGCTGTGTCTACTTTAATGTAAAAAAATGTGTAAACAGGTTTAGGCGAACCAGTTTTTATATGTTCTCTATCGATTTGTGATTAAGCCACTCATTTCACGGTCTTCGTGTGAAAGTAAAACTAGAAGCCAACAAAATGGGGACTACGCCCCTTATGTATCATTTTTCAAAATTTTACCTGCATTTTGTGCGATCAAATTTCTAAAAAACCTATTTTTCGGGCCAAATTTTTAGATCTGTCAAATGAATGATAAGGGTACCCGCGATCAATAAGGTTTTTTACGTTTCGGATGATATAAAATCTTCTTCGTGAAAATCCATCTACTAGAACGGCGGTAACTGGCCTTCCAAAAACACGAAATTTGGCAAAAATTGTTTTTGAAAATATCGCGGATTTATTTGCGTTTTCTGTGTATCATTACCGCTTCAATAAATGACCTCATACGGATTTTGATCTTTTTCGAAAATAGAACATTAAAAACTTCAGACGACAGAGAGAAGTACGCAATTTATCTCAAAAATAGATTGTGCTGGCACATCCATGGTTCTTATCGGTATAGATCGATGTATTTTTTTAGGGTGCACACCGAAATCGGATGCGCGTTAATGGCATATGGAGTTTTCGGAAATTATTCGCGTTTTACGATTTTCTTAGCCGTCAAATGAAATTTCGCAAAATATATATGGATTGGAAGATAAACTTCAGTACTTCCTGGAAACCGCATGCGCATCAAATTATTTTGAGAATTACGTGATTTACACGCAATTTAAAATGTGTATTTCATAATATTATTTTATTTTAAGATTTACTCCTATTTATAGAATTCTAAGATTTATCGGAAGGGCCTTGATATAATCCTCACGGCGTATACTTATACACAAAAAGTGATTATTATTATATATGTATGTAAATTTTTCGGCGAAATTCGGGTAAAATAGCAGAATAACCCCAACATTTTTTTCTGAAATTTCTTGTATACAATTAAAAAAATTAATATGATGACATTATTTTTTCGAACCAAAAACAAATATTTTTGCTCAATATCTTGTTTTGTTGTCGCTTTGATTTAGAAACCGCTACAGGGACTTGTGTGATTTTGGTGTTTAGATTATGTATGTATGTAGATATTTTTAAATTAATTTTTATGTGTATGTCATTAATATAATGACAATATTGATGTAATCTGCTATATTTTTTTATTTTTCTCATATTTCGCGAATATGTGCAACTTTATCGTGATTATTATAATATATTCATATTCTTATATTATGGAGGAAGATATATATCAACGTTTTTGGTCAATATAATAAACGGCGTAATTTTAAAATTTTTTTCTTATGCCCAAAATTAAAACCTCGATAACTTTTGCGCGCATCAACCAAAAATTTGATCGCGAACGGTTTCGGAGTCAGAACATTTTTCTCTATATGTGTACCAAAAATCATTGATGTGCCACAAAAACAAAAAAGCTGATTTTTTGAAATGGAATATTAAAAAATTGACAATATTGCCCATATATGTATGTATATGTGGGAGCTATATCGAAATCTGAACCGATTTTCCCGAAACTACCAGGCATTATTCCCCTATGCCAAATGTCGTGCCAATCGAAAGATATATGCCGACTTTGGTGCACCACTTACATAAAATCGGACGAAAATATGGGAGCTAAATCTAAATACCGATTTTCACGAAATTTAACACACATCGTTCTAGACTTAATTCAGTACGCTATGCCAAATTTCGTCCAAATCGAAAGTTATACAGGACTCTGGTGCAATATTTACATAAAATCGAAGGAATATATATATGGAAGCTATATCTAAATCTGAACCGATATTCCCGTAATTTAACACACATTGTTTTAGACTTAATTCAATACGATATGCCAAATTTCGTCCTAATCGAGAGTTAAACAGAGACTTTGGTGCTATATTGAAATCTGAACCGATTTTCCCGAAACTTACCACTCATCTTTCTAGACTCAATTCAGTACGCTATACCAAACTTCGTGCAAATCGAAAGATATATGGGGACTTTGGTGCACCACTTATATGAAATTGGACGAAAATATATATGAGAGCTATATCTAAATCTGGACCGATTTTCCCGAATCTTAATACTCATCGTTCTGGAATTAATTAAGTACGCTATGCCAAATTTTGTCCAAATCGAGATTTATACAGGGACTTTGGTGCACCATTTACATAAAATCTGACAAAAATATACATGGGAGCTATATCGAAATCTGAACCGATTTTCCCGAAACTTACCACTCATCTTTCTAGACTCAATTCAGTACGCTATGTCAAATCGAAGGATATAAAAGGACATTGGTGCTCTATTTACCTAAATCTAAACCGATATTCACGAAATTTAACACACATCCTTCTAGACTTAATTCAATACGCTATGCCAAATATCGGCTAAATCGAAGGATATGAATGGACTCTGTTGCAATATTTACCTAAAATCGGACGAAACTTAACACGCATCACTCTTGTCTTTTTTAAGTACGCTATGCCATATTTCGTGCAAATCAAAGGGTATATAGGGACTTTAGTGCACTATTTACCTAAAATCCGACGAAAATATATATGGGAGCTATATCGAAATCTGAACCGATTTTTTCCAATTTCAATAGGGTTCGTCCTTGGGCCATATTAATTTAATTTATTTATTCACATTAATTTCAAAGTCCGCAGACCACATTTAAGAAATTACCAGTCCACAAAATCTCATAATTGCACTTATAATAAACAATAATGCAATAAGACATACAAATTCACAAATGTGGGTCCATTAAGAAAATATACTTTCAAAAAGCATGCTCCTGTGGGCTTTGAAAAAATATACTTTGAAAACTCCAACCTATCTTCGAATTGATAGTTCAATATTTTTGGTCTTTCCCTTCTGCGTAAAAGATGGTATTGTTCAAAATTTATTTAACAACGAACATTACTATCGACACAGATCAAATACTTCAAGAGCTGCTTCATCTGCTTGCGCGGTAAGCAATAGGGATCGGCGCCTTGTAGAGTGTGAGTTTGGTCGGGTAATTGTGTTTTTTAGCTGCTTAGTTCGACTACATTTTGTTTTGGTCATGGCGGTAATGGCTATTATCTGTGACTACCTTAAAGCTTTAATTGTCAATTTAATTTTTCTGTCACCAGTTACCTTTCTTCATCACCTTCGAGCCGGATAAAACGAATTAGCGGCCTAGATTTGCCATTAAATACCAATTTTTTTTCAAAAATCTTCAAAAAAATTTTCCAACAAATTTTTTTTCATTCTACATCAGTGTTGACATTTCCCTGCATTGTTTACAATATTCACAGACAGACATATTGTTTTGTTTTGTTGGAATAGTGACATACGTTTAAAGAGTAACCGATACCGAGTACTCTTGTTCACATTAAGGCGATAGTCCAATTAGTGAACACGTAATATACGTAAACAACCAAAACGCAACAAACGTTACTAAACGTAACAAACGTAATTCAACGTAACGAACGTTAGTGGAAATTGCATTACATTATATTGCATTCCATTTCTATAATAAATACAAATAAAAATAAAATAAAAATATAAGCAATAAAATAAAAGTATCAATAATAAACATAATACAAATAATACCTAATAATAATATAATAAAATAATAATAAAATTGCTCTCAAAATTTAAAAAATAAATATTTGTTGAGCAAAGCCCTATTAAAGCCTAATAATTTTTTAATTTTTTCTAACTTCTCTCTATTTGTATAATAAA